ATTAATCAGTTTCCAAAAGCTGTAATTTGAGTATTTGAAATGGTTTCACCACATGCACACAGGATTCTGAATAGGCCGTCATGTTTTCATCGGAAAGCCAGTAATAACTGAGTTCAGTTTTACTAGCCATGAGAGAGTCTCTAGCTGTGTTTGGGCTGAAACCGCTTCAAAAGCAGGGAAGACGATGTGCCTGACTTTTTACAGTATCACTCCCAGATGTTTCATTACAAAACAACTTTCAAAGACCTCACCGCAAGAAAACCTTCTCGTGTGAGAGGAGCCAGGACACAAGAGTGTGGATTTCAGAAACCCACAATTTTCACATTTTCATTTCAGTTGGAAAAACCAGCATGCAAAACTGTCTGGGGGAACACCAATAAAGTGCTAGTATTAATGATAGTGGTACAACCTGTCCAACAGGCCAACATACAAATCATAACCCTATGTTCAAACAGAGTGTTCCACACCATATACTATAAAAAAGGTGTTGTCCAAAGCATTACAGTAGATAGCATTGCATCTGTTTCGATTTGACAGGCAGAATTTACTCAGCAGAACAGTAAAAGGATACATGAGGAAGCTTTGGCTGATGATAAAAATGGCCCCTGAAATCTTGGGGTGCATTCATTACAGTCTGCCTCTTGTGCCTCTCATCAGGCTGGCTAACACTGACTGGCGGGCTCTGACCCAGTACTCCGGAGCTTCTCTCTATTGCACCCGCCTCTCATCAAGAGCCTTGGGTGGAAAAAAAGGAGTAACATGCTGTTTACTCGCAATCCCAGGCCCGTAATTGCCAATTTATTTGATAGGCAGCCGGGTAATGATGGCATTTCACCCCTTGCCGCAGAGACTAAACGGGAGTGATTCATCCCAAGCTCCCTGCCCTCCCTGATCCAGCAGACTCCCTCTGCTCAGGACTGCTGCCTGCCTGAATGCCTGCCACCCAGACTGAAGGGGTGGAGTGTGGTGGGGGGACGTGGGGGGTGGCTGCCATGTCGGCTTCAAACGAACCCAAAAGGGAGCCCAGCGCTTCAGAGCAAATGCGGCTAAGCCTGCCAATTTAGCTGGGGTTTGGGGTTGAGGCAAACACAGCCGAGCTGATGTGCCATTTGTAGGCCTTAATGAGCTGGCAGGACGGAGTGAGGAGGGAAGGCGAGCGGGAGAGAGGAGGCTGCCAGGCCTGACCTCCTCTGGCCTCTATCTCCCTGCCAGCCAGTGCCAGGTCGGCAAACTCAGTTCATCTGCTTCAACGGAGCGTAGTCGCTCTGTGAGGGGAAGGGAGTGTTACAGCAAATACCATTAGCGAACTGTTGGTCTAATGAACAGTTCGGGTCAAAGCTAGCTCCTGTCTCACACTGCTCCCTGGTACTAACGAGTGACTTAGATGGTTTCTCTTTGTTTTCGCGCTGTGAGGGAGCATCTATGTGCAGCTGAACCACATGAGCAGTCCAGTTGCATTGTGCTGTGTTTTCAGCCAAAATAGTTTTAACATTTCAGTAGAACAAGCACATGGATAGCCATAGCAGAGAAAATGCTACAGGCCTTCATAAATAACCTGCAAATACTATCTACCTTCATCTGTAACAATACTATTTTGCAATAAATGAACTATATTCTATAATTAGAAAAACAAGCCCAAATAATCTCAGTGCGAGGCAAAACTTTTTTCACGTTTTTTTCTTTTTTTATTCTCTTCATCTTCCTCTTTCTATCTGGGGAACAGCGCCCTGCTACAAAAGCTACAACTTGCACCTCTTGCGACGTGTGAAGTGGGTTTTTACAGCAAGGCTGGATGGGACTTGTTCAGAAACCTACGGGGAGCGGAGATGAAGCCTCACACAGTGTGACCATCTAAAATGACATGGGGTCTAAAAGTCTGTCTTCATGCTGCCCAGCTTTCAGCAGCTCTTCTGAAGACATGCTCAGTCTCCTGTGGGGTGTCTTGACCACACGGTTCAGGGGGAACCAGCGCTGCTGTTCCTTCTATCCTCCAGAGTGTACTGAGTGGCTGAAATGCCAGCTCAGGTGGAAGTGATTATAGAAAGGGCGATAGATGGTTCCTGAGAACAAGTCGGGGGGTGAGGAAAGTAGAAAGTTTCTGTTTGAGAAAACCTGAAATCCTCAAAATGAATTACAGATATAATTTGAAATTTAGGACAACATTCCAATAAATTAAGTATATTTAAGTGAACACATTGGCTGGTGCTATAAATTATATGCATTTCAGGGGGTGATTTCATATGGAGCAAAAGAGACAGTGGCACATGGGAGTGACTGAGTAATAAAGACAGACCATAACATGATCTAGCTGTTGAAACATGTATCATTAGTGTATAATGAGTCAGAGTGCAAATCATCACAGAAATGTAATCTAAATGGAGGGAAGCGGATGACCGAGGTTATGTCAGATTATACTGTTGCCAATCCATGCAAAGGATTATGAAATTTCAAACAGTGATTAAAGAAATTACATCTAGTGTGTCATTTCTTTAATAGTTGTGACAACAAGTAAAGGCCTTTAAAACACATATTAGAACAGTTACAGGCAGTATGTAATGGATTTTTGCTTGCTCCTTTAAGATAACAACTAATATCAAACTTAATGTATCAATGAAATGCAACCCTTTTATCAAATAGCTAGCTGTGCCAACCTCTTTAAGGTAATCAATATAATTTTGATATGGAGCCATAACATGCATTATCCTACAAAGTGTGTAAAAACCAAACAGAATAAAACAGGGATAATTGGCTGCTTGATTTGACCATGGGAATCAAATTTAGATAAAACCAAAACCTGGCACTCATACACTGATTGAGTCTGATTGTTGAGTCTCATTCACAGGTCGTCAAATACAGACAACGTGGGAATGACACACTCAACAATCAACTATCTTTCTTGGCTCTGATTGGCTATTTTTATTAAGGCACGGTTGATTCTTGCAAATTCCATTAAGAGCACTAGGAGGAGCCAGAAGAACCAGAGTTTTCCCTACAGATTACCTGCCTCATGTACTACTGTAGGAAGTAAGGATATAGTGAAGGTTTCAGAGATACCAGAGACTTTTAGAGATCATGACAAAACAGATGAGAAAAACTGAATGCTTTATCATTCTGTATGACAGTCACAGTAAAGCATATTAACCATCCAGGTTAAGTGTTTCCAAACCTCCACTGTTAAAGCAAAACTTGCCTTGGTATACTGCTGCACAGTCACCACAGTGCAGTCTGACAGAAATCAGCAAGTATCATTTCAATTTCTGTTGTCAACATCAAATTACTTATTTCATTTCATGCCCAGTCAAGCATCGTAAAGCTACATGCAGAATCAGTTTTGCTTCAGTTGTTCGGCCATGTCTTTCTCAAAGACTAGCTCGCCTCCCAACTGACAGCTTTAATTATGGCCAGATATCTGATCGCTTCGCTGTAGATTCTCCACACAAATCAAAGAGCAGGGGTGGGTGTCTGGCAGCAAGGTCCCTCGAGCCCGCTCGCTTTACATCTTGGAATATGTCACAGGGCGCAGGGACACAGCCGCTCTTTCTTCTGTCAGTTAATGCTTGCCTTCAGCTCCTCCACAAGGAACAAGGACCTGGGTAAGTAGTGTCTTTTTTTGTATCAGTCATAAAGAACCTCTGGGAGAGTGAGAGAGTGTGTGTGTGTGTGTGTGTGTGTGTGTGTGTGTGTGTGTGTGTGTGTGTGTGTGTGTGTGTGTGTATAAGATGTAAATAGTGCTCTTCACCTGAAGTACTCAAAGAGTACACTTATGATCATTTAAGATTTACCACAAAGTTCTCTGCTGAGGCACAGTTTTATTAGTTTAACACCAAAAGAAATCTTGACAAAATGGATAATATCACATTAATAACTTACCTTTTGTCTGTGTGACACACCCACACATCGGTGCAAGCACTCACACACATAATGAATTTACACCGTTTGGATTCAAAGTACATGCCCTGATATATAATACTGAAGTAATTCTCTAGCTTTTTTTTGTAATAATTACATAGGAGGTTTGACATAAAATTGCATGTGTTCAAGTATCTTACTCTCCACATGCTGTTTCTTGCAAAGGTTGATATGAGAAATGCAACTAATTAATTTGCTTATAGATTTTATATTATGTTAAATATATCATGATTATTTTTAATCGATTGACTAAAAAATATGAATATAAACATGGTAATCATTCTCAAAGCAAGAAAATATGTAACATTTGTACCAACTGTAGAACTTTCCACAATACTAATACTGCCTCTCTAACCTTCACATATGACTCATGTCCATAAGTTACTATAATGAGTCGGTTCTGTCACTTGTTCAGTCAGCACTGTTTAGGAGCAGCTGCAACTCTCTTGCTGATCAACACTGGCTGTTAAAGGTAACCTGTGGAGTTTTGGACCTCTGGTAGCACTAGAGAGCACTTTTTGTGTGCATGCGTACACGGGCACACATTTGCCTGCACATGCACATGGGTCATAGACCTTCCTGCTAATGCTGTCACACTTTTCCACCAATTGTCAGGTAGTTGTAATGTGCCAAGAAAAGCAGTGATACGCCAGCAGAGGAAAGGAAAAAAATGCTTACTAGTAAATATAGACGTAAACAACGCAGGTTTCAAACGGCTCTGCAAATGTTTTATGGAGGAAGGAAATGCATTCATCATGTTTTGTGTGAGTTACACTGAATGTAAACGTAACTTTTGTTTGTTCACCAGATAACTCCACAGGGCACCTTTAAGCACTGCTGATGTACAATACAAAACAATTAGGACGTAATATATGTGCTCAGACTTTGGCTTCCAACTATTGTGTCCAATCTTTTCTTTTTTCTGGTTTTGTTGTATTTGAAATGCTGAAACCATGTGTTAGGAACACTAAATACAACAATATGAACCAATTATTTCAAAGAAAATGACATACAATGAAGGGATGTTGTGATAAGCCCTAAAAGAACCTCAAGCTACCACTGAAGAGAGCTTGTTTTTTTAATGTACTCACATCTGTCAGTCTGTCTCTGGAGCTGCTCCTGATGGAGGGCTTGGACTCTCCGCTTACACTCTCGCTGTCGCTGTCCTTACAGTTGTTCTGCCCTGGCTTCAGCTGCCAAACACAACACAAAAGGAGACCAAGGGTTAACAACATGAAGCAAAACTGTTAACACTGCAGTTTAGAGCTTTACATGGATAACGCTGGCTAGGGAAGGCATCCCACAGAAATCGGTTCATGAATATGTGAGAACTGGCAGGAGCTGCGGCGCTGTCTCTCTAAATCTGTCATGTTTCTGAGCCTATTCATTGGCCATCACTCCGCTTGCCAATGATAGACACCATCTGATCTCGCAGTATGAAACTCCTCTCAGCCCACGGAATAGAGAACAGGGACAAAGACCCCTCCAGAACCTTCAAATGGAGCCACTATCCTTTCCAAGCAGACACCACATGCCGAGGCAGCAGGAGCTCAGCAAGTGTCATCCTCTAGACACACTGTTCGAGATGCAGCAAAATGACAGGAATAAAGAGGAGGACGTGCCAATCCGCAAGCATCTGAGGCCCTTCAAAATCTGGAGAACAATAAAAGACTCTTGGGAGTTGAAAGAGGTGGGGTCTGTACTCCCCATCCAAGTCTACGATTGATGTCCTCTGAAGCTCCCATGCTGCTCCTTCCAGACCAGACAAACGCTGCAGGTTTCATTTCAAAGCACATAAAAAGATGGCTTTATGGGACAGTGCAGTAAACGGCTGCTCTGCCACCTAATAGGAAAAGAAGAGTGTGGTGCTGCACACACAAAGGACTTGGACTAGAAGATGATGGCACTTTCCTTTCCCCTTCCTCTCCTGCTCGGGAGGAAAGGGACACAGCTACAGTATATGTTTTTTTTTTACCTCTCCTTCAGTATTCTCTTTTCAGGTATCGGCCATAATTTAGAGCAATGAAAGGGCACAAGGTGGGGGAATACCAAAAGAACCCTTGAGTTGAGCGGATAATTAAAATGAAAATGTTCCCTTTTCTGTAGCCATTAGCGGTGTGAAAGGAATCCTATTCCTTGGGAGAATTGCATGATGGGTGGAAGGCGGGTGGATTTGCCAGAGTGGTGAATGTGATAAGAGAGTTTGAGCACTGGGAATGCCTGATGGGCCTGTTTGACTCTATGTGTGCACGAGTATGTGTGTGTATATGTGCACATGAGTGGGTGTCTGAGACAAGGCTGGGGGAGAGCGCACAAGAACCAAATGTGACACATGCACAGACACATGCACACCAATGCCCTGCGCTGTGATAACACTAATTACCTCCAACACATTTTATTCCCACAAAAACCAGGGCACATTTTCTCTCTTTTTCTTCTAAATGCCAGTTTGTCTAAGGGGAGTTTACATATTTTTAGAGAGAAAAGGGGAATAATATCTCATCCACCATGGTCCGTGAACTGATCCTTGAAGAAAGGGCGAGGGACGCTGTTTACGCCCCAGTCTGTGGCTCCTTCATCAAAACATGTTGACCTATAATATTTATTAACCAGCCTGTGTCCCTGCTGACAAAACCGGGCAGCGCACGCCAGCACACTCATGCATTTATGAATGTGCACATACACAAAAGGAAATACGCAGACCTCACTGAAAACTGCTGCTGACTCCTGCATCACAGATTTGCAGCCAAAAACCAAACTCATATATGGTAAGATTAAAAGGAATATAATAAGGCATGTGTGGGAGAGATATAGAGATTTGTCCTTTATTAATCAATGTAGAATCCAACTGATTCTGCTGTAGTGAAACCACATAACCACACTGTCTCACACTGGCTTATCAGTGGTAAAGTACTCTGTGAAATCAGAAATCTTGCTCAAATTTAACTGTGTGTAATGTCTGAAGAACATGTCTAATAAAGACGTTCCAATAAAGAGCGGCTCATCTTTCAGGGCTATTACATTGCTTGGACCTGATTACACAGCTATTTGAAAACGTATCCCTCAGCTTGTTCCCTTTAATTTCCCCCTGAGCTCCCTTAAATTACTTGAGAGAATTGTGGGTTTTTTTTCATCCACTCTCCCCTTTCTGAGCTTCAGATGATGGATTCATTTCTCTTTATGGTGTGATTAATGGATGTCTTAAGCAAATGGAGGGAATGCTGGTGGTCAGTGCCATCAAAAAGTGAAGCTGAAATTTAATGACCTGCTGTCTGATGATAAATCTAAACGAGAAGCCCATGTGTGTGGGTGCGGGGGCTGTCTCTGTGACCTCTACTATAACAACGCTGATCTGATCACTCCCACTTATTACAGCGTGCAAGTCATTCTCTGTATTTTTATTGCCTTTTAAGCTTCAGTTTTAAACCTGCTGTAATGAACACCAGTGCACTTCACAGCATTCAACAGAGATCTCAGGATCTGAGGGATTAGACGTATGTGCAAACGCCCGGGACTGGTGTGCTTTACTGATGCAATAGCATAAAGACATTAATTAACACGCAGGTTGAGGCATACGGACGTATTTATTTAATGACCTTACTGTATCTGTGCAGCCTGGGTAGGAACTGGCCCTGCAGGAAGATAACAAACAGATGGTTTTAATATTCCAGAGGCTAATTTCACAACAATTAAAGACACAGCGAGACATTAGCATCTAATGAAACATTTAAACTACTAGTAAGTGCATCTGCCATTAATTTCCACACAGTGAGGTCTTGTTTTCCTGCAATCTGTTCTGTGTTAGGGGATAAAGTTTTTTTTCCTCATCTCTCTTACCAGTCTGAATTTACTGAAGTAGAGAATCAACAACTGTTTTCAATCAGCAGCCAGCGTGATGCTTTGCAAGAGAGCAGCCCAAACCTCAGCATGAAACAGTTCAGCCCGCAAGTATGAGAAATCATATAACATTTCTTATAAATCATTCTTTTAAAAAAAACAAATGCTTTTGCTTAAGTTACTAGCAACTATTCAAACTGTTGTTGTCACACTTCATCTGGATAGTCCAGTGGTGACAACTGAACATCCCCTCAAACAATTGTAATGCATTAGTAATATCTGGGTACTGGGTTTCAACAAATACTCATAACTGAGTGAAAAATAGTTCAACAGTGTTATATTGTCTGTGGAGACACAACAAACACGCAAACATTGACTTTTCACTTGATAGCTGCATGTCATAGTGTCACTAAACACATGGACTTATCCACCAGCTCCTTTCTGCATTTATTATTTATGAACAAGTGGAGGAATTCTCACATTTTCTATATATTTTGATATAAGGCTCGTTCTGCATGGCAGCTTCCATCAGTGCAAAGACAATGACACAAGACCAACCATTTGACAGATTTTCAAAATCATTTCACCAGTCAGTCAAACAACACATTCTATTGCTTTTCGTTGATTAAATGTGTTTTAGTTGCAGACAGCCCTAGTTAAGAGCACAAATACAAACACGGTATGGATTTCCAATAATGTGTCAGATGATTGCCATTTTGTTGACTGGCCTTAACCAAAGCTGGGTTCTTCTCATAGAACCCACTGTATAATCACTCATTCCCTCTCCACACTCTTGAATTTCACTTCAGTCCATGAGAAACAGCTGAAGGACTTTGCTTTTCAATGTGTCTATTGAAGGTTAGACTGAAATTAACAAGCACCTTTATAGATCATAGCAGTGTTATTGAAGCTGCCACATGAAATACGAAAGGTGCTGTTGAATGTCATGTATGCCTCACAAATACTTATCTTGACGTGTCTACTGAAGCACAAGATGCCTGTCTTTACAATAAAGAAAATGTCATTAAAAAGACAAAATCAATATTGTATGTTTTCATGTCAGTGTTGTTGCTGGTGGCAGCAGGAATAATAGTGTCATTTAGGAACTCAAACATGATTCACAGCATACACTAATGCACTACAGTACATTCCCAGATCAGAGTGCAGAACAATTATTAAATATCTCATTTAACACTGTTCCCTTGAAAAGTATGCTACAACAGTGTCTTGAACATGTGCAGTCAATTATTTTCTCACTTGCTGAAAAGTGCTCACCGTTGCCATAGTGGAATTTTACAAGTGTATTGACCTATTCTCAAGGGCTGCACTACAGACTCAATGCAATCAAGCACAAAAGTAGGCCTGCTAACATTTCTAACCACAAAGGCCTTTTTAAACAGAGCCATACACAACCGGCCTGCCCCAGCAACTCCAGCCCCAACCCCCATCCCTCATCCCACAAAAAGAAAAAAAAAGACATCGAGAGAACTGGGCTCAGTTTTCTGTACTGGCCTCAGTGGGATAGCCATCAGCTCCTGGTTTCCCTTAGTTACGCACAACAGCAGCTGCGGAGCTCGGCGGTAATAAAACCTGGAACAATTTAACGGCTTTTATTGTTCTTCTGCGGCTTTCAGAACAGCTAACCTGTCCTCTCAGGATCTGGCAGAGAGAATCCCACTAGGGCAGCAATGAAAGAGGATCTCATTTACCTAAAAGCGCTTATAAATTTTTAATTTGCTTTAACAAGTAAATTAACAAGTCTCTCATTTGGGAAGTTTTATGGCTGCTTGCCACTGAGGGAGGACCATGAAAGTTTTATAGATAATCCACTACCTAGGCTGTGTTGCTGATAATAAATTGTCTATTTCCTGCGGCACTGTCAAATCCCCTTGGTTTCTACTGACTACACTTTGAATATCTCCTTTACGCTATCTTCACAGGTCTATATAGCAGGGCTATTAAAGTGCTGGGGAGCTTCACGACTCAGCAGTTAAAATGAACAACTTGAAGAATTTCTGTCGACTTTATACAGGCTCTCTCGTATAGCCTTAGGAGACGCCATTGCCAAACATTAGACCACATTAAGCAACGCTAATTATGTCCCTACCAGCCTGTACATCACATCAGCCTCACAGTGAGCCCATCTAGTGAAACCACCTTGGGCTGGTCGACAACAGCAGTTGGAAACTGCTGGGCCTGTTTAATTTGCAGCCGGCTTTATCTGACGAGACTGTTATGTAAAAAGAGGAGCCGAGGGTTTGTCAGGACCTGTGAGGGGGCGACAACGGGCCCTACGTCATCTGTCTGACAGTGGCTGTGTGGGCGAGCCCACCAGCGTGGCCTGGCTCTGACCCTG